AGCAACGTAAACAAGAGCGCGTGCTGGCGGCGCGTGCAGACGAGACCACTTGACTCGAAGCGTCACTGGAGTTGGGTAACGACGACGGCTCTGAGCGCAGCGCAATTGGAAGGTTCTACAAGTAAATTAGCGCAGTTTTATAGCCTTGTAGGTATGTTGATACAGTACATGTATGCTGGGCTTACGAAACATTTTTTTGTTGTTGTTATAACTACAGGGATTTTTTTTTACATATATATAAAAAAAAATTCAGCTGAAACTGCACAAAAATTGTATAGACAGTAATTTTGGTGTCACCCCCTCTGATGGTGTCACCCTCTGATGGTGTCACCCCTCTGATGGTGTCACCCCTCTGATGGTGTCACCCTCTGATGGTGTCACCCCTCTGATGGTGTCACCTCTCTGATGGCGTCACCCCTCTGTTGGTGTCACCCCCTCTGATGGTGTCACCCCTCTGATGGTGTCACCCTCTGATGGTGTCACCCCTCTGATGGTGTCACCCTCTGATGGTGTCACCCCCTCTGATGGTGTCACCCTCTGATGGTGTCACCCCCTCTGATGGTGTCACCCCTCTGATGGTGTCACCCTCTGATGGTGTCACCCTCTGATGGTGTCACCCTCTGATGGTGTCACCCCTCTGATGGTGTCACCCCCTCTGATGGTGTCACCCCTCTGATGGTGTCACCCTCTGATGGTGTCACCCCCTCTGATGGTGTCACCCTCTGATGGTGTTACCCCCTCTGATGGTGTCACCCCTCTGATGGTGTCACCCTCTGATGGTGTCACCCTCTGATGGTGTCACCTTCTGATGGTGTCACCCCTCTGATGGTGTCACCCTCTGATGGTGTCACCCTCTGATGGTGTCACCCTCTGATGGTGTCACCCCTCTGATGGTGTCACCCTCTGATGGTGTCACCCTCTGATGGTGTCACCCCTCTAATGATGTCACCCCTCTGATGGCGTCACCCCTCTGATGGTGTCACCCTCTGATGGTGTCACCCCTCTGATGGTGTCACTCCTCTGATGGCGTCACCCCCTGTGATGGTGTCACCCCTCTGATGGTGTCACCCTCTGATGGTGTCACCCCTCTGATGGTGTCACCCTCTGATGGTGTCACCCCATTTGATGGTGTCACCCTCTGATGGTGTCACCCCTCTAATGGTGTCACCCTCTGATGGTGTCACCCCTCTGATGGTGTCACCCCTCTGATGGTGTCACCCTCTGATGGTGTCACCCTCTGATGGTGTCACCCTCTGATGGTGTCACCCCTCTGATGGTGTCACCCCCTCTGATGGTGTCACCCCTCTGATGGTGTCACCCTCTGATGGTGTCACCCCTCTGATGGTGTCACCCCTCTGATGGCGTCACCCCTCTGATGGTGTCACCCTCTGATGGTGTCACCCCTCTGATGGTGTCACCCCTCTGATGGTGTCACCCTCTGATGGTGTCACCCCTCTGATGGTGTCACCCTCTGATGGTGTCACCCTCTGATGGTGTCACCCCTCTGATGGTGTCACCCTCTGATGGTGTCACCCCTCTGATGGTGTCACCCCTCTGATGGTGTCACCCCTCTGATGGTGTCACCCTCTGATGGTGTCACCCTCTGATGGTGTCACCCTCTGATGGTGTCACCCCTCTGATGGTGTCACCCTCTGATGGTGTCACCCTCTGATGGTGTCACCCTCTGATGGTGTCACCCCTCTGATGGTGTCACCCTCTGATGGTGTCACCCTCTGATGGTGTCACCCCTCTAATGATGTCACCCCTCTGATGGCGTCACCCCTCTGATGGTGTCACCCTCTGATGGTGTCACCCCTCTGATGGTGTCACTCCTCTGATGGCGTCACCCCCTGTGATGGTGTCACCCCTCTGATGGTGTCACCCTCTGATGGTGTCACCCCTCTGATGGTGTCACCCTCTGATGGTGTCACCCCATTTGATGGTGTCACCCTCTGATGGTGTCACCCCTCTAATGGTGTCACCCTCTGATGGTGTCACCCCTCTGATGGTGTCACCCCTCTGATGGTGTCACCCTCTGATGGTGTCACCCCTCTGATGGTGTCACCTCTCTGATGGCGTCACCCCTCTGTTGGTGTCACCCCCTCTGATGGTGTCACCCCTCTGATGGTGTCACCCTCTGATGGTGTCACCCCTCTGATGGTGTCACCCTCTGATGGTGTCACCCCCTCTGATGGTGTCACCCTCTGATGGTGTCACCCCCTCTGATGGTGTCACCCCTCTGATGGTGTCACCCTCTGATGGTGTCACCCTCTGATGGTGTCACCCTCTGATGGTGTCACCCCTCTGATGGTGTCACCCCCTCTGATGGTGTCACCCCTCTGATGGTGTCACCCTCTGATGGTGTCACCCTCTGATGGTGTCACCCTCTGATGGTGTCACCCTCTGATGGTGTCACCCCTATGATGGTGTCACCCTCTGATGGTGTCACCCCTCTGATGGTGTCACCCCTCTGATGGTGTCACCCCTCTGATGGCGTCACCCCTCTGATGGTGTCACCCTCTGATGGTGTCACCCCTCTGATGGTGTCACCCTCTGATGGTGTCACCCCTCTGATGGTGTCACCCTCTGATGGTGTCACCCTCTGATGGTGTCACCCTCTGATGGTGTCACCCCTCTGATGGTGTCACCCTCTGATGGTGTCACCCTCTGATGGTGTCACCCTCTGATGGTGTCACCCTCTGATGGTGTCACCCCTCTGATGGTGTCACCCTCTGATGGTGTCACCCCTCTGATGGTGTCACCCTCTGATGGTGTCACCCCTCTGATGGTGTCACCCCTCTGATGGTGTCACCCCTCTGATGGTGTCACCCCTCTGATGGTGTCATCCTCTGATGGTGTCACCCTCTGATGGTGTCACCCTCTGATGGTGCACCCCCCAGTGACGCCACTGCCCAGACGGCTGCCAGGGTAGCGAGGCCGTGCTGCGTCTCGTCCACTCTGCAGCTCACACGCACAAAGATCCCCCGTATAGTCTTAACAGACTGCCGGGGCAAGTGCTGTTAGCGAGCACCTGTAAAGGCCGGCACGGCACACGAGGGGGTGGGTGGCCAACACCACGCCCGGCCGCCTTTGTCTCCCTAGTGACGATGTTTACACACCGCACCAGGTACTCGTTTTGAGGCTGAGTCAAACTGAGTACTTGCTCTGGAATTCCCTCCTCACCACCGTCACCATCATGCAGCCAACCACAAACTCTCACAAACCAAGGCCTGAACATACGGGTCTCTACTATATGTAGGAATCATTTTAAAAAATCCAATCAAGACATTACGTTGTTGCAAAAGTAAAATATGAACGATTGTATTTTACCAGGTCGGGCCCACTGAGCAATATTTATGAAATCCACGTAACCACGGGGAGAGAGACACGCAAACTCCAAATATTCGGCAGGTGTCAGGGTTGGGATGGAACCCACGAGGTCCTGCACACCAGGCGAGGTAGTTAACGTCTCCCAGCCCCGTCACTGCGAGCCAGGCAGATACACACAGCAGAGAAGACGCCTGCAAGAGAATACAACTTCTGCATTGAAAACACAGTTCAACTAATGATGTACATTTTTCGATTTAAAGCTTTCGTGACTTCAGGGATTCATATTCCTGGTTCTTTCGGTAAAGTCACGTAGAAGGGAAATAATAAAATAATAATAAAAATTATAAAAATAAAACATAATATAAAAACACATAATATTATACAAATAAAACATAATAAAATTATTATTTCCCTTCTACGTGAATTAACCGAAAGAACCAAGAAGATGTACATTTTGTAAAGACCATTTCGTTCTCGAGGTAAATCCGTCTGATGTGGCATCACGACAGCCGACGGTGAAACCCCAACACGCAATGAGGTGGCATCCTCCTCCAGTGCCGAAGCTCCAGGTGACAGAGGTAAACCCTCTTAGGTGACATAACCACCGCGGCACAATGGAAAACCTCCAGATGTCGAGCTGAAACCTACAATGTGGCACCAGCACTAACTCAGTATTACCTCTAAGTGTAGCGGGAAAACCTCTGAGGTGGCACCACCACCTCAGATTAACTTCTGGATGTAGAGGAGGAACCCTCTGGTTTGGCACCACCACCCCAGATTAACTTCTGGATGTAGAGGGAAAACCCTCTGGTTTGGCACCACCACCCCAGGTTGACGTCTGGTTTTAGAGGGAAACCCTCTGGCGTGGCACCACCACCCCAGATTAACTTCTGGATATAGAGGGAAACCCTCTGGCGTGGCACCACCACCCCAGATTAACGTCTGGATGTAGAGGGAAACCCTCTGGTTTGGCACCGCCACCCCAGATTAACTTCTGGATATAGAGGGAAACCCTCTGGCGTGGCACCACCACCCCAGATTAACTTCTGGATTTAGAGGGAAACCCTCTGGCGTGGCACCGCCACCCCAGATGAACTTCTGGATTTAAAGGGAAAACCTCTGTCGTGGCACCACCACCCCAGGTTAACTTCTGGATGTAGAGGGAGAACCCTCTGACGTGGCACCACCACCCCAGGTTGACGACTGGTTTTAGAGGGAAACCCTCTGGCGTGGCACCACCTCCCCAGGTTAACGTTTGGATTTAGAGGGAAACCCTCTGTCGTGGCACCACCACCCCAGGTTAACGTCTGGATTTAGAGGGAAACCCTCTGGCGTGGCACCGTCACCCCAGGTTAACGACTGGATTTAGAGGGAAACCCTCTGGCGTGGCACCACCTCCCCAGGTTAACGACTGGTTTTAGAGGGAAACCCTCTGGCGTGGCACCACCTCCCCAAGCTAACTTCTGGATTTAGAGGGAAACCCTCTGGCGTGGCACCACCTCCCCAAGCTAACTTCTGGATTTAGAGAGAAACCCTCTGGCGTGGCACCACCTCCCCAAGCTAACTTCTGGATTTAGAGGGAAACCCTCTGGCGTGGCACCACCTCCCCAAGCTAACGTCTGTATTTAGAGGGAAACCCTCTGGCGTGGCACCGCCACCCCGGCGTGAGCACTTCCGTGGGCGTTCACGGCAGGAGGAGGAGGCGGCTGCGGCCTTCCACGTGAGCCGACTCCGTTCCGCGACCATCCGCCCGCACAGCGGAACTGATCGTCAAAGGTAAATACGGCCACGATGAACGTTGCCCAGAGATTTCGAAGCGGACCCTTATTTGCATGCCTCTTTAACACAATAAATAAATCGAAGATGTATATTTTTACTTTCCCGCGAGGCCTGCGAGGTTCGCCGACCCTCTGCTAGTGGCCCGGCCGGGTTGAGCGCTCCGAGTGCCGGGGCGGCGCCTGTGCCCGACGATGCTCCCACCCTCGTGATGGGCCTCAATGATTGTGTTCGATTTTGTTGCATTAGAAGTGACAAATTGCATAAAGATAGCTTCCGTTGCATGCACCCACGTCAGCTATTTTGTTTGTTTTGAGACCTTGATATGCCGCTCATGGCAATGTTTATTCTGTCAACCTTATCTGACGGGACCGCAGACGTGTTACGTCGTTTTTGCGGCAACCTTTATCTGCACTCCTTTATCAGCACGGTCTTCGGCGATGTTGCTGCGGCTGCGTTGACGAGTGGAGGATGACGGCAACCCTGAACACAAGCACGGGGCTGCGGGGCCCGGGAGACACGACTTTAATTTGCAGGCAAATCGAGGTGGTCTCGTGGACACCAAACACAGACAAAGCAGCCGATTTGAGATTATAAGCAACAGATAGCAGATGCCAAGGAGGGCGAAAGTAATGATTGCATATCGCCAGGAAGAATAATGGAATAACTAAGCTTACTAATTGAAATTGAATTGATAGTTGGGAGAAGGGTTGGAAATTACACGGGGAATGAATTGTCAGAAATCACAAAAGAGATGTTGAGGAATGGGAGAGAGATAAAACGACACGCGCCTTACCAATTACAGTGCAGTATTGAATGCGGATAAATCATCCGCACCCTCGCAGGACGCCCATGAGATCGAGCCAAGCAGCTCATGAAGCCCTTCCTGCTGAAATTTAAGACAAATATAGATCAACGTGGAGCTGACTAAAGACGGCATGGAAATCAATGGGAACATGAAGGCAGAAAAACTCAGGATGATGATCGTGCACAAATGTTAGCCCCTGGCAAGAAAGATTGAACCATAACTCATGATAATGTTAGAATCTTACAATTCGTGGATGAGTTTGCATGCACATCTCGGGCAATATGTTATATCCCAGAATTTAAAACATTCGTCTGATGCAAAAGGAGGTGGGGTTTCACACTTGAAGCAAACTGCCCATTGCAGTATTAAAAAGGGGAAACTACTGGACTTTATGGGAAACCTGGACATCATCATAGAGTTGGGACCAGTTCAGAGTCAAATAAACCTATTTACGAAATTGTTTACACACAAATGAAATATCTCAATCATGGAATAACTGAATAGTTTTGCTGTTTAAAAAAAAAAGTGCGAAAACTAACTTTAAGAACAACTACAAAATATTAAGAAAGATCAGAGGAATCAACAGAAAATGTAGAAGCCACCGACCATATATGCCAGAAATATAAATGGCGTGTCTACTACCATCGACCACATTTCGCAATAAGACTACGTATTTGGCTTGTGGCTGTACCTGCAGCATTTAAATGTCCCTGCCTGCTGCACCTATTTGATTCGATGCTTTCGTTTCCTTAACTCAACAGGGAAGTTCATGGTTGAAGCACTTCTCTCTATGCAGACTCGGGTTTTTTTCTCACAAAGTGACTCATTTTTTTGCGAGTCGTGAGTTTGAAGGTGGCAATTTTCTTAGTTATTTCAGCCCTCTCTGTGGCTAATGCATCAACCTACAGCGTTATATAATGTTTAACACGTAGGGTTTCGCGACCAGTATTATTCATAATAAAGGTTTTTGGGTTAGATCGCTTTAGTTATAAATGTGTCGCAACCCTCCACCACCCGACACAGCCAATCAGTAAAAAATGTGTCACGTTAACAAAACGCCAATTAGTTACTTTAGCTCACTGGTGTGTTTGAAGAGTGAATCCACAACATTTAGAATTTGAGTACAACGTTTCGCTGGAAATGACATCCAGCATCTTCGGGCGATTTTTTTGTACAAAATATTGGGATGGTGTACGTTGTACTTTGTACACTATACAGGGATGTCAACGCCCCTGCCCTCCACACTCCAGGTCCATCCTGACCCGGGGACGGTAGACCCTACGATTGTCCTCAGCCTAGGGGTCCAGGTGGGCCCCATTTGCCGGGAAGGGTGGCATCTGGTGCATGCGGATGAGCTGCCGGTCAGTCCAGGGGGTGCCCAACACCCGCAGGTGGCCCGATGTACCTTCCCAGGAGGCCAATGGCACTCGCAATGAAAGAAGGGGCAAGTAATGAAGGCATTTGAGGAAAAGACCTGATTACCGTCCTTTGAACACAATGTCAATGAATGTGGAATGACGGGAATATCACCACTGACCTAAACGGAATTGGCAATACAGTTGTAGATGCCGCATCCAGTCGAGGTGGCCATCCAGAGAAACCCCTGCTTGAGGGTTGGGACGAGGAATGGTGGAATCGAAGGAAATGGAAGAAAAGTTGAAGAGTGCGAATAGAGAAATGGAAAAGAATGGTCTGAGATGTAGGGGTACAGGACACAAAACTTGGGCATATCTTCGTTCGTCATTGTACAAAAGTCCTATCAGGTGTTACACCACTTTACAATTACTTTGTCATGGGTTCAACTGAGTCGCAGGCGTAGACTTTGGAGGCAACACATTTATTCAATTCCAACACACGGGGTAACTTCCCCTTAACAGAATAACAACCTAAGGTGGTGACCACCCGGCTAACTACACTAGTTACTAGTTACTACGTGACTGGTGTAGTTAACCGGGTGGTGACCACCAGGCTAACTACACTAGTTACTAGTTACTACGTGACTGGTGTAGTTAACCGGGTGGTGACCACCAGGCTAATTACACTAGTCACTACGTAACTGCTACTATGGACCGGGACCAATGACTTCGGCCCGAGTCCACGTGTTGGAGACTCATTGAACGGAGATCGTAGATGAAGGGTTTCTTCCAGGATGAACAACAACCACCCCGGTCCCTCTCGGTACCCGGCTGATAATTTCTGTGGCGTGGCCGACTCCGCCCTTGGCCACGTCCACCTTCCAGAATCCTCGGGAAGGATCTGGGTCCCAAATCACGTGACCCCCCTAGCCCCCTCTTGGGGCCCCTCTGTCAACTTAACCGATCACGCGTCCTCCCGGGTCAACCAGAGTGCCATGGCCTCACACAACCCCATCCTTCCGTCGGCACCCACACACCCTGTCCTGAAGGGTCGGCACTGCACTTAAGGCGTGGTGCCATCCAGCGCTATTAATCAGTGCACACCGTGCCCCTCTAGGGCCGGTACTGCACCCACAGCATGGTGACATCCAGCGATGTCACTACACTTTTACTATAAAGCATTTAAATAAAAGTAAACAATTCGAGGTGATCACGACTGAACACATTTATCAACAACTGTGGCCTTAAAAGGAAAAAATATATAAAAGTCGATATTTAAGCCAATCGCCCTTCATCATAACGCACGTGCAATCTAGAAGGATCATTTTAATTTTGGGCTATGACCCCTCATAGCACCCGTGCTGTGACGAAGGGTCATCGACTGAAATGTTATCGATCCCATCATTTTCCATTTTTAGGCAGTGCATTTGACGAACGTCTTGAGGTTTTTTCGTGACTCATTCCAGGCAATTTATACCACGCTCTTGTGTCTGCAAATAGAACGTGCACACGTCTTGAATAAAAAAAAAACTTCTCTTGTATTTTGTCCAGGGTCTCGAATACTGTTGCACATAATAGTCTTGAAGGAGTCTGGCTCTAAGGTTGTCTGTTTCCCTTATCACCTGGTCGAGGCATACAGCAGAATATAATTATCTGACGACATCTGGCGCCTTCTGGGCGATTTGGTCACGTAAGAATGTCCTTTCATATACAAGCAGTGACATCAAACTTTCCTCCAAACTTGTGATGTGCGTTTACGGACATACCGAGAATCTAATCTCGCTTCATAAATGGCTGTTCCAGAACCTTGTCATACTGGGAATATTATTAAGACCTTGCAGGTATTTCCCCTGAAGTTTGTCGTTTCAACCGGTATCATTTGAAAGTCACTTAATGTCTTTTACGCAACCAGCTATAGGTCTCCCCCACAAGACACCCGCTTGTGGTTTCCCACAAACCTGTGCAGACTCCACGAGATGGTACCGGTGGCATACGTCGTGAGGTGCAAGGAATTAAACGAGGCACCTGTCAAATTTACCCCCCTCCTTTTTTCAAGGCCCGGTGCTTAGGGCCTTGCAGAAAGTGGGCACCAGTGCAGTCGCAGCGCCAGCACACTGTAGCTACGCCGCTAGACGGTGCGTGTTTAATCGATCCAGCAGGGATGCTGCGTGCCGTGTGAACGCAGACTGCGATTTGAACCGGTGACCTTGCGACCGGCAACCCAGAGCTATTGCCCAGTACGTTGTCGTTGCCACCGATACGGCAACATCTGATGCTCGCCAAATCGTGTTGGTTAATGTGTCACGAACAGTCTTTCAAAACGGCGCCGACACAGTCGATCCTCTTGTGCTGCACTTTGCCGCATTGCTCCGAGGATGAGGTTGTAAGCACGGCACAGTACAAGTCGTACATGTTTTGTGGCTGGCCTATAAAACGGCACGTGCCACCGCATGCTCATTTTGTTGGCACCGTGCTTACAGAGAACCAGTTCCCTGATTATTTTTACCTTCGGGCGATGCTGCCAGATCCATTTCATTCGGCGCTATTTCTAGTTTGCTTTTTACACGCGGCCAAGCGAAGAGACGTTCATGAGCAGCACACAGCTCTGTACTTAAACTATTGTACCCGTGTTGATGGAGGTTGCTACTTTGACAAGCCTTAATATTTCATTAAACATTTCTTACAGTAAATGTGCATATCAGATGAGGCATGTGGAAGATAATAGTCTGTTACTCAAATGCTGTGAACATTTTTTTGAGTATCACGGTAAACTGCATTTCAGTTTACACGCATGCTTTCACGACCAATATCCATAATACAGGTTTTTCGGTTTTTTCGCTTAAATATGTGTTTATTTTAATACGTGGGTTTTGCTGTAGCCAGTACCATGATCCATTTTAGTTTTTGCTTTCAGTCATGTGGTAGGTTTATGCTAAAATTATTGACACTATTCAATCCATGACCCAACAGCAAGATTGCCTCATTTACAAAGATATTTCATTGACAAAGATATTTCCTGGTAAATGTTGGGTGGTTGAAGGGTTTTTCACAAAAACATTTGGAATAAAACTACAGCGTGGCCTAACGCAAAAAACGAATATGGATCGGGCATGTTTGAGTTGTGTATGAAGTCAGAACTCTATGTCGTGTCTCTTTCACAAGTGCATTTCTCACATGATGCTCCGGCATGCTTATGAATCTGTCATCCATTGTGTAATCTGATACATTTTATTATATTGCACGTTACCTAAATATTGCAAACATCACAATGTCATGATTTGCCCAGTGTACAAATATGTGCATTTTTTTATTATGTAACATGAATAAATATTAAAATAAGCAACAGTGGCGGAACTTATTTCCTATCTGTGCTCCTGTGCGGTGGTTAGGTCGTCAAGCTCTGACAGCGGCCACCTGACAGACAGGGCACGTGGGCGCGGTGCACGCGAACCGAGAGGATGCGTCGGTTGGATCGTCTGGTGGAGGAGGAGGAGGCGGAGGAGGCCGGGGCGGTAGCGCCGGCCCCGCAGAAGGAGGAGGAGCAGCATCTGGGCTTCCAGCCGCTGGTCGTCATCGAGCTGTCCCGGCATCTCCAGCTGGTGACGCGCGACTGGCTGCTCTCGCGCTTGCGGGACAACGACCTCGACGGCGGTGAGGCACAGTCGGTTGCGCGGTCGCCACGGTAGCCTTATTTTAACCTCTGGTCATCTTAACATTAGAGCCACTGACGTGGCTGTGGAATGTTCGGTCGCGACTCGCCGTTTGCTGGGTATGGACGGTGCGAAAGAAGTTCAACATACGTACATTGACGGTCCGCAACCTCCGGGTTCTGTGAAGAATATCGGATCGCTTACGCCCCGTGCCATGCCTGTAGGTGCCTACCTGGAGGCTCAGCCACTGCGGGTGGGCGGTGAAGCGGACAGCGAGAGCCGCACCCTCGTGGTGGGAGCCACGTGGAAGCGATTGCTGATTGGGGCGGAGGAGGCTGGCTTTGTGCGGCGCTGTCAGGATGGCTCCATGAGGGCCTTCACCTACCTCTCACGGCACACCTTCGAAGGATACTCCGGTAGACGAACATCTCTATGTGCGAGTGTGTTTTGTTGTTGTCACATATTGCTGTTGCCGAGCGCAAATCCAAAGGCCTGGATTGTCAAGCGGGCAGGAACAAACAGCACTACCGAAGGTATCATTTTGGAAACATTAAACTCTTTTACTGTGGGATAAGAAATGACACTCAGGTCCACACACACACGGATCATCAACCACTTGTGTGTGCGGAGAGTGCCTCATTACATCCCAAATGGGTACACCAAAGATTAAGTAGAGCCTTAACAGACTGTTGGGGCAAGTGCTATTCGCGAGCACGTATGAAGGCCGAAACGGCACACGGGGGGGTGGGTGGCCAACACCACAGATGAAGCCACAGTGCGGCTTAATCTCTGTTTTATCCGCCAAGCCCTTATTCAACGAATATATTTGCCAGAAACAAACCACCTGCTTGCTGTACTGCCATCATCGCATACGATGAGTGTCCCGCGGTGTATCCGTGCGCGTGTGCGCACGCGCCGTTACAGATGATAACGTCGCGTTCCTGACGATGGCTGAGCAGCAGTACATCGTCAAGCACGCGCTCAACAACCTGCGCGCCAAGGAGGAGATCAGCATCCCGGGATACTCCGACATCAAGCTCTACCCGGGAAAGTCCGTGTGTAAGTCACTGTCGTAATAAGCAACTTGGGGGGGAATTCGCACGGACTCGAGACTTATTATTTTAGAGAGTGAAACTCGGCTGTCTTTTGAAAAAATACGCGCCAAGTCTCTATTGACATCCTGGGCTGCACGTCTTGGGTGTGGAGCTTCCTCGTTCATGAGAAACAAGGGAGAAAAAAACCATGCATACACTTGGCTTACGTCACGCTCTCCACGACGTGTAAGTGTTAGGTGAAGCGGTATGGGAGCCGACGGACAGCTCTCAGGGGTGCAACACGTTGCTGTGGTACCGATGGGTACCTGTGATGGCAACGTCAGTTTGCATATTTGAAATTGCCCTCTTTGCTTCTGGTTTGTTTCATCCAAGTTTTGGCCACTTTTTCATACATTTGGCCAGTTTTCAATCAGGTGAGCCCCGAAATATTGGGTCATCCATCGTATGCCCCAATTAGGGACAGATGGATAGACAGACGGGCAGCACGAATACATTAATTATTTCAAAATTAGTTGTAACTTGCTCCAAAACGTTTAGAGTTCGTCTGGATGTGCCGCCGTAGCACGTCCAAGTGACATCACCCAGGTCGCATTATTTAAGCTCATCCACAAAGTGGAATTCTGCCACCAAATATCTGCAGAGACCTGCAAGCTGCAGGGGAGTTTACATGTTTTCTTGCCAGTAACAACCTCCTACCCATCAACCACCTCCCCATCAACCACCTACCCATCAACCAGGCCCTCAATATTGTACCTCGGCACCAACTCAAAGTTCTGATCCCCCTTATGCGCAACTATTGAATTGGCCCGTGCTCAAACCATCGCTGCATCTGAAAAATAGCATTGATGAAAAGTGTATGTGTTTATAAGCTCTGCAGAACGCAGGCAAAATGTATTGACTCTCTCCCTCTAACGTTGTTATCGTGTCACCACCCTGTCTCCCTCCGGCCACCCCGCCCTGACCCCACCCCCCAAATTTTGTCTTCCGCACGTGGATCAGTCCGCCGATTCCAGTCCAAACGGCTGCTGGTGCAGATCTACCCACTGCACGACACGGAGGAGCTGAAGAAGCTGTCGGCGCTGTGGTACCAGCAGGCGAGGCCATCCTACCAGCCTTTGGGTGAGTGCCGCCTCTATCTAATGCCTACGAGCTGTCACCTGCGCCGTCAGAGTTCTCAATTACTTTACACGCATACAATTAGCGTGTAGGTTTCCCGTAGCCGGTCCAAAACAATACGGATCATTATATACGCATTACATTATGCCTCTGACCAAATCATTTGAAATATGCTCTCAGAATGTAAGCGGAATTGGGCCTGGTTAGTGCTGGGACGGGCAACCAGCGTGCGTGAGCGGAATAGCAGCGGAAGAAATTGGGCAATGTAGAAGAGGTGAGCTTTAAGGGAGGAACGGAAGGAGGTTCGGGGTTGCGGACTGCTCTCTCTGCCCTGCGATGTCCTCGACCCTCGTTCACCATCTACAGAGGCGATCCGACGCTACTTTGGGGAGGAGATTGCACTCTACTTTGGCTTCCTGGGCTTCTTCACGTGGGCGCTGGTGCCCATGGCACTGATGGGCCTGCCCTACTACCTGTTTGCCTGGGAGGACTTTGACAAGTACGTGTTGTTCGCGGGACTGAACCTGGCGTGGGCCACCGTGGTGCTGGAGCTGTGGAAGAGGCACAGCGCGGAGCTCTCCTTCTGCTGGGGCACGCTGCTCATGAGGCACGACTTCGAGGTGCGACCAGGCCAGCCTCTCTCCCCCCCCCCCCCCCCCACCCGATCAGCCTCTTTGGCCATTTACATCTGTGCCTTTCACAGATACACATAGGGACCCTTCGACTCCCATAGACTCGCGCAGAGACCTACATGACGGACTCTATATCTGTATAGAAGCTAAATGCACCCACTGTTGATTCTGTACAGTGTCTTGAGATGGGGTCACATTTAGGCACGACGTAAATCTAAATTGTATTGGATTACAGATGCGAGCCACATTGCTCCATGTTCTTATACGTTGCGTCGGTTGGGTAGGGTTAGGGGAACCATGAAACCTGTCGGCTTGGTACTCCATGCCAAGCTACGGGTCCTGTCCTCTCGGTCACACATTTTGCCATCTCTTGCCCTATGCTTGTGGACAGAAACACCTGTGCCCCTCCCTCCCTCCCTCCCTCCCTCCCTCCCTCCCTCCCTCCCTCCCTCCCTCCCTCCCTCCCTCCCTCCCTCCCTCCCTCCCTCCCTCCCTCCCTCCCTCCCTCCCTCTCCCCCCCCCCCACGATGGCAGGAGCCGCGTCCGGGTTTCCACGGGGAGCTGGGCATGAACCCGGTGACGGGCCGCAGGGAGCCCACGTACCCGAGCTGGCGCCGCTCGCTGCGCGTGTACGCCGTGTCGGTGCCCTTCGTGTGCGCCTGCCTCTACCTCTCCTACCTCGCCATGGACGTCTACTTCTGGATGGAGGCGTGGGTGCTGGCGTGGCGGCACAGCGGCGACGGCGATGCGGACGAGGGGGGGCCGCTGGCCGTGCTGGTGCCGTACGTGCCCAGCGTCATCTACGCCGTTGTCATCGAGGCCATGAACCGCGCCTACCGGTACCTGGCGGAGCTGCTCACCGAGTGGGGTCAGTGGCTGAGGGGGCAGCACGGGCCGTTACTCGTGATACATCGTCGTCTGTCTCGCCGGCATTGCCACCGTTGTCATCGTCTTCATCGACGGATGCAAGCTATCCACTGCTGGATGAAAGCCGTCCCGAGCTGTCGCCGAATGTCCCGGTCCCTTATCTTGGAATAATCCGACTCTACAGTCTGAAGATTTTTGAGAGGACATTGGGAGTAATGCTGTGATGTTATCGGGAGTAGTGCCGTGAGGTTATTTGGTGAGAACCATTGTCTGACACAATGCGTGGCAGTGCTCACCGCAACGAGTTTCAAATGGAAACGTCTCCCTTCTCGTGAGATGATCCCGATAACAGAATTGGAATATAATCTGGAAGAAAAACAACTAATTCTGAATTTGTTGATATAATGTATTGTTGATCAATAATAAACAGTCGTGTGTAATCATTTACACGATTGCCCGACAATGATGTGGTGATGCGCTGTGCCACTGGTTTAGTATGGGAGTGGTTTGCATTGGTTTTGTGTTTTTTGTTTTGGCTCAGAAAATCATCGGCTGGAGTCCACGCATCAGAACCACCTCATCCTTAAAGTGTTGGTTGTGAGTATCATTCCTTACACGGTGCCTTTGAGTAAAAAAAAAAAAACACGCACGCTTCCTGTCAAGAACACATATCTAAACACAACGCCGGCGTCAGTATCAAGGCATGGTGTCTGAAATGTGCCATCAATTCCAGATTCATGTGGCAGGTTGCAGTCTCTCCATGGGACACCCATGGCAACAAATCAAATATTTAGCAAGCTGATGTTGTGGGCATTGGCCCTCCGTCAAAATACAACTATTTCTTGATGCTGCGTTGGTGGTACTCGAGCACCAATACATAAACTCAACAAATTGACCTTGAAAAGAGAGAATATACTCAGAGGGGACGTGTTGGGCATGGCCGTTCCTTCGTAGCACATAGAGAGCCCGTAGAGGTAGAGGAACATTTATTTTCCATTTGGATCACTCATTCTACCTGCCTGGCCTCTCAGTGTGGAAAGTACACTGTGGTTCATACTCTTTGGTTTTTTTTCGGTAAAGTCACGTAGGTAAAACAATTAAATTAAATAAATGAAAACAACTCAATTAAATCACGACGTTTCGGGCGCAACACAAGCGTCCGTCATCAGGTGGGAAAGCATGGCCTAGTGCCGATGCAGTAGGCCGAAACGTCGTGATTTAATTTAGTTTTTTCATTTATTTAATTTTATTTTTTACCTACGTGACTTTACCGAAAAAACCAAAGAGTATGAATCCTTGCATTAACGAAAGCTTCAAATCTATACTGGTTACCTTCAGAAGGACTTGTCCCGTCATTCCAATGTGGAATTTCCAATGCTCGATTTGAGTTGATGAACCACTGAATTTCGATTTAAAGCTTTCGTGACTGCAGGGATTCATCTTCTTGGTTCTTTCGGTAAAGTCACGTAGAAGGGAAGTAATAAAATAATAAAAATAAAACATAATAAAATAATTCTCACGACGTTTCGGCCACAACGCAAGCAGCCGTCCTCAGGTGGAGAACAGCTGTTTTATTTTTATTTTTTTATTTCCATTCTACGTCACTTTACCGAAAGAACCAAGAAGATGAACCACCGAATGTTTAATTGTCCCACAAGCGTGGCCTGAGCCCCCCCCCCACACCCCGCTTTGAATTCCTGGAACTAATTTTAACGCCACTGATCCTCAAGAAAAGTGGCCTCATTTCTCACGTTGACGATCGCCAAGGCCTCACCACGCTCTGGGTTTTTACTCTTCCCCTTGGCAGTTCAACTTCACCAACTGCTTCGCGTCTCTCTTCTACATCGCCTTCTACATGCAAGACATGAAGCTCCTAAGACAGGTTTGAATTTCATGCTCACAATATGTGCACTTTTTTAAAACACCTATAACTATCAGTACAAAGTCGAAGTTACACATCTGTAACGCGCCGCGCAGATACAGAAGTGCGAGTGAAACGAAAACACGTTAAGCGAGGAATATCTGTATATGCATTACCGGGCATAATTAAATACAAACAATGCATATTTAAATCACATTCGCGTGATCAAATCAGCCTGTGGTCAGTCGTCCCATGACGGGACAAAGAACTGAGATGAGGGTACTCCACCGCGCAGGGTATCGTTCCGCGCGTACACCCAGAATACTCGCACCGCGCAGCTCAGGAAAGTAGTTCGTCATCGACAGCTTAGAAAGTGTCCCTAGATGGAAGAACCGCGTTGTAGCGACAACACGGTACGTGAACACCACGTCTGTTAGCCCTGTAACGAGGTTTTGTAAAAGTGTGTAAAGATCTTTCAACTCTGCCGCCCAACCCCCTTCCCGTACACAGAGCCTCGCAGCGCTACTCATCACATCGCAGATCCTGAACCAGTTGGTGGAGTCCATACTGCCCTACTGGCTGCGCAAGCGCCGGAACCAGCAGATGGGATGGTCGAGCTCGGAAAAAGCGCCGTCCGATCACAAGGACTCGCCCCTGCGCCAGCAGATCCACATCGAGGGGGAGATGGGCACGTACTTGGTACGACGCCGCAGCCCCAACTACGCCCGCCGTCGCGTTGCTACCTCCACGATGCGATACGATACGGACTTTCTAGCGATGACGGTTATCGCGTTATCTGTGATTGGGCTTCCGAATTGTTTTGGTTTTGTGCGTTGCTGTACCTCCAGGATGGATGAAGATTGCTGGCAGATGCAGGCCACTCGGTGTGAACCTGCCACTCGTTTTTACGATAAAAAAAGACAGTTATTTAGCAAATCGACTAACTGAGCAAATTATGATAGCAAACATACATTTTTCTTACTGTGGAAAGCATTTTAACAAAGCATTAATTTGATGGATAATGGCTGTTTAATTTACAGGTTAAATAATTATTTAGTTGCTTATTCAATATTTTGTCAGGAAATAAAATAACGAAGAAAATTAAAAGGATCCCCAGTAATCACAAAATGACGATATTTAGCAAAGAAAAGGCGATAGTCACCGTTGTACCGTCCTATCGGCACGTCGTGGCAAACCTACCCACAGCGATCACGTCAACGACAAACAGCCAGACCACCACCACCACCACCACGTGTGCAGCTCCACGGCCACAGCTCACAGAAACAATCGCTCTTGAGAGACGACCGCTGCTGGCGTGCCACAAAGCGGTTGTGACCGGACTGGCGCTACTTCTGTTCACCAGGGCTGCTCCCGCCGCGGGGCTACGGTCCGCACGCCGGGCATGCAATGCGGCGGTCGCCGGCTCGGTTTGATCTCCTGCCACGGCGCTTAAAAACAACGGTGCAAGATTCTTAATTCTCCCCCCCACCCCTCACCGCCGCTGCGCCTCTGTTCACCCAGCGGTGTAGATGATGACGCCACGGCTCGTCGGTCGCGGGTCACGTGCGGTGTGGTGAAGTGTAAGAACCCACCTTCGGCAGACACCTGGCCAGCGCGTGCACCTCGAGACGGGGGATCTAGAACTCCTGCTAACGGAGCTCCTTCCGCCAGCAGTGGCACGAGCACACAATTGCAGGCCCTGCGTCCTTACCTTTGTGATCAAGTTCGAAACACGCAAAGTCTTCAAACTGGCAGCCTTCCCGATTGGGACTCGAACGCAGCGCCCCCTGGTGGAATAGCAGAATTATCGCGCGACCGCAACGGCAGCATTGACGTCCATACCGCGTCTCCCCTCCCGCGCCCACCTGCCTCCCGCTCCCCGCAGGGCACGTTCGACGACTACCTGGAGCTTTTCCTGCAATTTGGCTACGTGAGCCTCTTCTCGTGCGCGTACCCGCTCGCCGCCGTGCTCGCCGTGCTGAACAACGTCACGGAGGTGCGCTCCGACGCGCTCAAGCTGTGCTGCGTGCTCAAGCGGCCCTTCTCCCTGCCCGCCGCCAACATCGGGGTCTGGCAGGTACGTGCGTGCGTGTGTGTGCGTGCGACTACGTGTGCGTGCGTGCGTGTGTGTGCGTGCGACTACGTGTGCGTGCGTGTGTGGTGCATCGGCCAGTCATCTCGGTCAATCCATGGCACCTGGGTCTGTCCCGTGACTACCTGCCAGCGGGCATTCAACACTTCGCGTGGCCTTAACGTTTACATAGCCTGGCACGAGGGCCGTGGTGATGTTAACGCCAGTTTGTGGCGAATGGCAGTTGTTGTTGTGCGTGTGTGTGTGTGTGCGTACGTACGTATGTGTGTGTGCGTACGTACGTATGTGTGTGTGCGTACGTACGTATGTGTGTGTGCGTACGTACGTACGTGTGTGCGTACGTACGTGTGTGCGTACGTACGTACGTGCGTGCGTACGTACGTGCATTGGTAGGCCCTCCCCTAGGTCTACTCGCCCTTAAATGAGTACCTGCTGTGGTGTGTGAACGTCAGCACTGGGTAGTAAATTAATTTCTTTAGAACAGCTTTTTGTGTTTAGTTTATTGTCCTTGCCCCGCACTTCCGATTAACACGGTTGGCTACGTATGGTGCGAAAGCAGTTCAACATACATCCATACCCTAGAGCAAGGTGGCCGGGAGTGGTTTTGACCACACCACCACCCACGCTTCCCCGTGTTCCGTGTTGGCCTTTCTAGTTGCTCGCTGAACAGTGCTCGCCTCAGCTGTCTGAAACGGGCTCTCGAATGTTTTGGTCTGACATACAATAACGTGCACGCTTTTCTTGCAAAAAAATGACCACGTTTCATAGCATCGGCTTAAAGCTGTGTTTGGAATCATCTTGTCTGTTAATAAAAAAAAAGATTTACGTCGAAAAAACTCACAGTCGCCGCACCTAGCTCCCAGTGACTTGCACGTGTTCCACAGCGATAGGCGTGGCTTGTTGAGAGCGCGATGTCGAGTCGTGGTGGAGGGGCGACGTGTGCTGTGGCCGGGGGGGCGTGGGGACCGAGACGAGAGATCTTCTGGGTGGGGATCAAAGCCTTAGAACACCGATGGACCGTGTTGCTTGGGGGTTGAGGAGGAACGTGTCGGGAATCGACACCGTTTCATCGAGGCCAGCCGCCACTTCCGTCAGGCTATGGACTTTTCCATTCCAACTTAGACAGTCGCCCTGCCGACGCCGCCTCCTCCTCCCCACCCAACTGTGCGTTTCCTGCCCCGCCGCTCCCCCAGCTGGCCTTCGAGGTGATGGGGCTGATGGCGGTGATGACGAACTGCGCGCTCATCGCCATGTCCGAGCAGGTGCGAACATTCTTCGACCAGGAAGGCGGCGTCACGCTCAACTACGTGCTCATCATCGTCGCCGCCGAGGTGAGACGCCCGTCGAAATCCAAGAAGCCCCCCTCCTCCCTCTCCCTTGGGCCCTAGCATCCCCACCCTGTGATCTGTAATGCGGTTATCCGGAGACCATCTGTGGGCCGATTGTCTGGATTGCTGGTTAACTGTGCTCATTCCCGCCTTTCACGAGTGCCGGTGATGTGGGCACAGGGACTAGGTGACCGTATCGACAAGTGAATCGATTGCTTAAAATAAAATACACAACGCACATTCGATGTCTCTTCACCCCCATTCTACGAACGCAAGTACGAAATGTGTGCTTTTTTATAAACTCATTTACTTGTTTTGCGTTATCCCTGTTTAATCCGGGCTACCTCGACCCCCCAATTGCCCTGGATAATCGAGAGTTGGAAGTATTTGTGCTTCTCAGCGCGTGTGAAGTCGCGTGCGTGAAGGCAACGGCATAATAACGAGTCGGCTCGCTGCGATCCTGGCAACCACGAGTTAAAATTCTTGAGCGTGCGAATACATTCTGAAACTTATCACAGGCCTTCCCTGGGTCGGTGAATGTATTCGGCGAGTAGTACCGGGTGCAGGTGTGCGTGCGCGAGCATCAACACCGGGGAGATGGCTTTTGGGCGGCCGTTGTTCTCAAGGCCCCTATTGGGGCCTCGCTAAGGAGGCTCCCGGCCGCTGCTGCACTCTCCGTGCCCCGACGGTGAATGGCGGTAGCGGTGGTTGTGAGCGCGGTGGCTTGGACTCTTGTGTTCCTCAGCACGCGCTCCTCGCATTGAAGTTCATGCTCACCTTCGTCATTCCCGACAAACCGCGCTGGGTGCGTCAGAAGCTGGCGCGCATCGACTACGAATCCCTGCAAGCGCTCAAGAAACAGGTGAGCGCTTTGTGGTCTGCTTGGGTGTTTGTATGCAGTCGCTCGCTCGCACGCAGGGCTGTCGACGGGACAAAATTAGTTTGGCGTAAATGGTAGATTAATAAAATGAAAAAATGCCAATTATCCAACCCAAAAAAGTCTTCCTGAATCTCGAGGCCCTTTATCAGAAGGGTCAAAGTTTGCCCGATTCCATTTTGATTTGTGGCATTTGGAAGGAAACCACGGTACCTGGAGAGACCCGGCACACGTGGGAGGGCTGACCCTTGGCACTGCCAGCCTATGGCCGCTACACTGCCCCATGCCTACAATGCCTGGAAAGCTTGGAAATATCCCCCATTCAAGTGCGCTAACAAGGCTCGAATTTGCTTGGCTTGTGGGATACGGTGAGATCGGGTGCATTAACTCTGCTTTGGTCATTCTCATTGATTTCTCATCCAAGAGCTACACTGCTGTAAAACTTGCAAAAACTAAAAAGTGCTCGCGCACATGTGCAAGTTTAGAGACTCTGTGTGACCTAAGCAGAGGGAACTTCGACTTTTAGTATAGTGCATGATTGGATATATGTTACAGAAATATATATGATCGTGAAAGCTAATGCACCGTACGTGATGTGTGTGTGTCAATGTTTGCAGAAAATTCAGGTGTTCAAGTCGTTGTCTTCAGAACAGAACACCGGCGACTTCCTAAACAGCGCGCTGGGGGAATAAACCACAGAGCAAAGCGAGCAGCAAAGGCCAAACCTCCCAAACGATCGGTCGCGGGGCATCTACGCTGGTCTAAGACAACGGAAAAGAAAAGGTTACTTCCCACATAACCCCAAAGCTGCTTCATTCCTCATTGGATATCTTCCGGGTCGCCGTGGGCTGGAGTATGAATGTGACTGCTCTTGTCTGGTCATAGCGGGCTGTGGTGTGTTAGCAATCGTAGCGGGATGTGGTGTGGTAGAAGTCACAGCGGGACATTATTTTACGGCGACCCAGGCAGACAGACACCCAGCTGATGTTAACCTCTGCACTTAAACTTATCCGTTGTAAGATTATTGACATGAAACGTAAATAACTTCTGCGATTGTTTACACCGCACATATAATTACGCGCTACAAAAGATATCAGAAAAAGCCTTCCTAAATTCTAATGGAGATAAAAACGGTCATACTATGTTGCTGTAACTAAATGTGCGCAAAATATATTTAGTATCGATATTCAACAAAGTAATATACTGTAATTAAAAGTGGCTGAAACGTAACCTTTTGTTTAACTGTAAAAATTCTATAAAGAGGTTTGTGTATTTGTCGCAGCGTTGTGAACGGTAACTGAGATCTTCAGAAGAGGTGCGGTAATAAGTCGTGGATGTGCGGACTCCGACCATTTGTTGCAGTGCTGTAACCCTGACACTTTATTTGCCTTTATTTTATAATCACCAAAGTGCGTCACAGTGCGCCAGGTTTATTATTCGGCTCGTGACGAGCATTTACATTGACAATCCTTCAGTGATGAAAGTGCGGGGAGGGAAGTCGGTTATTTAAGAGCACACGTGTTCCTTCTTTCACGTACACGCAGACACTTCAGTGTCCTCAGCCCAGTCTTTGATGGTAGCCCAAAGACCCATCACAACTTGGCATTAGCACTTGACAGGACAAATGCCAAACCCCCCTCATAGGGAATGAACGGGACCTCTTATGAGATGTAACGGAGTGAACACACTTCGTTTCTTCCACTGGAGAACTTTCTAAAAGGACAGACGAGAGAGAGACATTGAATTGGAGAAGTCTGTGACATCTCCATTCCCTGCCTCTGTAAGTATATCTGCCGTCCGTAGGAAGTTCCTGTAGGAAGTTCCAATCAGAATTCAACAGTTTGCTAAAAAAAACTCTTATTCAGATATCAACCTCCCATAAAGACCAAGGTTAAAGAGGTCACAGTGCTCTTATTAACGATAATAATACGCCTGAAGAGCGCTTCAATGCTCTTGTTCAGACGAGGTCTGCTTGGAATGTGCGTCCAATGGCAAATAAAATGGTGCCGAGTTGTAGTGAAACATTTCACAGGGACGGGTCATGTATTCATATGTTGTGCTTCACAGTTTTATCCGAATGGTGATAGCCGCAATCGCACTCTTGACACGATGGATCCGTTTCAACTTGCACAAAGCAGTGCTTCCATCACCCTGCGTCACAAAACAACATAAATAGGCACACGATATGTCTCCTTCACGTAAACCGTCTCTCCACATTGAACATGACGCGGCTCTCATCGGCAGGGTCAGGCTTGCTTGGTTCAAATCAAATTTGAAGTCGAAACTGGTCCAGAGTTTGCTTGCCTTGAAATAGTGCTGCTGACATTGCGCACTCCCAGACGGCCACGCGGCTGATGGTTTGTGCAGGGAACACTTTTATTGTCGTGCGGAGCGACGGCGGCGTGGCGGAGAGGAATTTTTATTTTCTAAAACAACACGAATCGCTACTTTGAGTTTCGTGTTGTTAAACGATCTGCGGGCTGAATTGTTTCTGAAATCTCACAAAACCTCGTCAAGTGACCCATCATCCACTCTGGGGTGCACTGTTTTCCCACCCACCCTCTGTTACCTTTGGCGCATTTATGACAGTAAAAGCAATATATTTAGCCAGATGAAGTGCGGAACCAAATTGTCCGATGATTACTTCATTGTGCAGTCCGCTGGTGACCGACGGAGACCATCAACTCGCCCCGCTTGAGAACCGCCCCGGTGCATTCACAGGCAGCGGCTGGGCACCCGCGTTTGAACCCAGGCCCTCGGCCGTGACGGCTCCGCACTTCTGACCTCCGGGTCGCCCACGGCCCCCTTGTCCCGTGTTTAGCTTGTTTAAAGTCAAGCCATTATTTATGAAAGTAGAATTATCTTCGTGCCAGTTGTTGAGAACGCTACTCGGATCAGGCTGGCAAATGGATGCGTGGATTAGCTCGTTCGTTTTGTTTTGCGCGGGAGATGTAGCTTGTAGTCTGGTCTTTTGCTGTTTGAGGTCTGATACTTGCACGTTGCTTTGTAAACATTTAACAGGAAGCAATTCGGGTTGGAGGCAATGCGTTTTTTTACGTACCGTATTGTAAATGGTGTTTTTGTTATAATATTCACTTTGCTGTAACTGAAATAGCAATACTAGTCTCTTGAAAGATTGCATTTGGAGGATTTGCAGTTAACATTGCTCATTGCAAGTATTCAAAGAATACAATGCTCTTGGTTGGTAATCTTCATGCTGTATGTTTGTGAGCAGTTTGGTATATAAGTTGTACTCCAAGAGAACAAACACCTTGATCAGAGTAAAATAAAAACTCCCATAAGGTCACAATTACTGCATGTAACATAAAGATACGTAACAAACAAAATAAGTGTCGACCTGTTGAAAATATGTTGGAGCAGTGCTCATCTCCGTTGGCACACCTGAGCCAGTGTTGGGCATTCCACATTCCTATGGCAGGAGGCCAGACACTGCCAATGAGGCGACCACTGCTGTTTTACCTACCCCAGGGAGATGATGAGCTGAGTCCAGCCCAGGCCGGGATTTAACTGCACAACCTTCCGATTGCGGTTTGCGTGCTCTTCACGGCATCGCCACTGCCAGATATAATAAAAACAAGTGCAGTGTGGTGAGACCTGGCCCTCGAGGATTATTGCGCCGTTGACTCCGAGGAGCATTTTGAGAACAAGTGGCTAATGTGAAGACCACGAGGGATGCGGAGGGTAACGAGCAATGGTGCAAGCTCTGATTTGGAACTGGAGTTCGTAGCAAGTGGAGAGAAACTGAATTCCCAACTGGCCAAAGTCCAAGAGACAAGGCCCTGGGATTGGGTTCAGTCCAGCTCACGTCAGGTCTGATGTCGCAATTTTAAGTCTGATATGAACTGATGCATCGTTCTTGAACTCTGTTTCGTGGCAAGTCACGTAAAATGATCTTAAGCTGGTGGGCCATGTGATGTCATGACATCACGTGACCGTGGTGTCATAACAACGGCAGTAAATGTGACTCCTAATCTGTGCTTCTGGAAGGCTCTCGTCGTTATCTTGGGTCCCTCTCACGAGATGGTCTCTCTTGTCCACAGCCCTCTCATATCCGTCTCTTTGTGTGCTGTCGTCTCACCACGTTGCGTCTCTGTGAACCAAATCTCTTGGTGGGCCACTCCACGACATCTTTGTGGGCCCCTACCTGGCCCATGGGCCGCCAGTTGGCAGAACATTGCTGCCCTCGTGTAAACACAGCTTCATGACAATTCATGATGAAAATAACTGACGGGATGGCAGCTGACAGGTAACAATTACAAAGGTCCAACCAAAGAGGAGGAGATGGAGCTCCAGTGGAGAGAGAGTTGTGGGCCATCTTGTATGAACGGAGGGTTGTCATTCTAGCAGTAGAATAAGCGTAGCTCCTTGGTTATGCTTTGAGTGTGCGTGTATAATGGGTGAATCCGTGGGGAGTGTTGAATTGCCAAATTGGTTTCAACTGGTAGGGTCATTTAAATGTTACAACTACAGCTGAGTTTTTAAAGCCACAACTCTCTAACCCACCACAGTGCAGGTTCCAGTTGTTTAAAATCATCAGGTGCATTTAAGCGGATTGAGATTGGTATTGAAATGCAAACTAGTGGAAAGTTATGAATGGTGTTTTAGGAATCCCGGGCCTGAAGCACTTAAGGTTAAGAGTTGCACAGGTTAGTTTGAAACGTATCAATTGTTTAACATTCAAACAAATGATTACATTGAATCTCATGGAATACTTTCACCAAACAAAAGCTCGTGAATCTCTTGTTCAACGGTTGGGAGCCGGTTGCCCCAGATGAAAACGGTACTTAATGTTTTGTTTACCTGGTGAAGAGACGGCAGGTTTGCTTCGGTACGCTGAGCGTTGTTTTTTGTGCGTGGACACGTTCTGGTTGTTTCTCCAATTCTGCGATGGTTGAGTCGAAGCGTCTCCCGACTCAAACGAACAATGGGGGCCGGTCTGTCTAGAGCAGGGTGAGGAACCTCCTGCCCGGACTACAGAGACTCCTCTACTTACGAACGAGTTCGGTTCCAGATTTCTGTTTGTACATCGATTGTTCGTAAGTAAAGGAGTCCTTGTACACTCCACACAGCCACGCGGGGCCTGCCACTTCGAAACGGCCAGAAAATGATTGCCATTACTGCGTTGATCTCAGCCGAACAAATCGGGTGCTGGGCAGGGGGGAGTAATATTTTCTACCTGGCAACACTGTTTTTAATTGTTGTCTTTCAATCAGTTCTGAGGACACAAGCCAATGATTACAGTCCTAGCTTGATCAACTATTATTACAATCAACGACCGTGTGATTCGACCAAAGGTATCTAAAAGTCATGTTCGGCCCTTCGGGATCTCTGTGACGAGCACTGTCGTCACGACTGCTTCGTAACAATCGAATGTGGCCTGTCCCGGGCAGTGTTTGGGCAGCTCTGCAGTGTGCCACAGGCAGATCCACGAACTTCAATTCCACATTTCGAACTATGCAACGGCCGAGTGTGGAGCATTACTTGCACCGACACGTACACAGAGTGCATTCACTGGGTTCGTGGATGGCACATTGTTGCTGTGAATGCCCTCTGTATTTGCCGTGTAATTCAGTGGCTCGCGAGCCCTGTTCCACCGCTGCAGCTGTGAGATCTGGCAGGAAGAAGTGATGGTGTGGTGGCGGTGATCGTTCATCTTTAATATTCGTCTTAAATGCCTTCTTGGAGAGTGACTGAATTTGGAGTTTTTCTCTTGAAGGAGGTGCCAGCTCAGTGTTGGTGGAACAGGTCTCGGATAACATAGCGGTACAAAAACTAAATTGCCACAATTTTCTCCAGATTTGGTCAAACAAATTGTGCTGAATACTTTCTGTGGATGATCATCCAACACCCTGTGGCCCTGTGCTTCTAACCTCGATACCCAATTAAAGTTCTAAATGTTCTTATTCTTTAACTGATGGATACCCTGCGAGTAGTTTTAAATGCCACTCCATCCGTTTTAGGGCCATTTGCCAATCGTATGCCGTAATATATTCACTCTTAGCTGGGGACACGTGTAGCATTTTAGTTTGCACCCCCCCCCCCCTTGCTTCCTCTTTTGAAGCCTGGTTGTGTCTCACTTGAGCATGCGCTGATTGTGACAGAATGGCCAGTTTCTCAAGGTTCCTGTGAATTAAGGGGCTGCTGGTCACTTCCATGAACACGCGCGCAATGTTTAACGTGGAACCGTTCAACACAGTGGTTTAAGCACTTGTCCGTCGTCGTGTTCCGCTTCGACAATGTTGTCGAGGGAGTTCAATTCCTTACGAAAGTCGTTTGACACTTGCGTTGAGTGCTCTTGCTTCTTGCTGCAATGCACTGTTTTGTGACCTATGGGAAAAGGTCCTTAACTGTATTAATAAGCTGCCTTCACTTGCATAATGCAATATTTGAAAGTTTATGGATGCAAAAAAATAAATGTCTCCAAAAAGTGAAATGGCTTGTTGTTGCGAATTTATCGGGATACATTATTATTCATATTTAGTTTTTTAGGAAGGTCATGTTTTTGAATGGTTTGACCCAATTATTCTGGTACTGTGCAAGGGAGAAATTCAACTCAACTGAGACAACACAAATCCCAGTCCTGCGACCTTGCTGTACTGCCACGTATGTACAAGCACATCGCTCGGCAAGGGACGAGTGTTGAGAATCCTCAAGTGATCTCTGGTCCACAAATTAGAGAAAGCACTTTCACACCCACTCTGCCAGAGTAATGTTTATCAGTTGACAAACCGATGCTTTTAATACTCAGGACTGAAATGTTCCCATTAAGTGCAGGATGAAATGTAATTTGGTGGGTTTTTGTGCAGTCATTGGTGACCCAACAGACCAACTCACGACACTTGAGCACCGTTTCATGACAAGCGGCTGTCTGAATGCAAATCTACGATTTCAGCAGAATGTTTAGTTTTGTGCTCTGTCAAAGCCACCTCAAGGTGTTCATGAAGCCCCAACGCAAACCAGGGACGAGTTTCAGACCACGAAAAATGCTCGGCACAATTTGAATGCTCAGAATTTTTATTCTCACTACGAGGTTTCACTTGTTCATGCAAAGACAATGACAGCATTCAGATGTTATCCACAACCTCCCCACCAAAGGAGTACATCAACCGTGGAGAGAACCGAACTTTAGAAGGACCCTGCACACTTCGCCAGCGAGGAAGAAACTACGGATTATAAGGAGCAGCTGGCGTGCGCGACTTCGTGTCGATGGGAGGACACAGTTTAGCTGCTCAGGGTCATCTTGTCGAAGAGGTACTCTCCCATGCCAGACTGTGGCACGCCCAGGCGCTTGAGGTTGGTGACGTGGTCCCCAAGCTGCTTGATGGACTCCACCTGCTCCTCCAGGAACTTGCTCTCCAGGAAGTCGCACAGCTGTGGACACAACAACAGCAACATCAGCCATGGCTTCATTGGCCAGGGAGACGTTTCATGGGGTGCGGTGGTCGCTCAAAGTGACCGGCGACTTTGCGGCGACAGCCACGGACTTGGGACAGTGTGGCTGTGGGACCGAGCGGGGGGACAGCTTCGTGGCGAGAGAGCCGCGGGTTCTGAGAGCGACCGTAGGGTGCTTGGGACCCGAGCCACCGAACGTACGAACCTGCGGGTCGTTCTTCTCACTGGCCAGAGCGTGGAGATCCAGCAGGGACTGGTTCACGGTCTTCTCCAGCTGCAGGGCGAGCTGCATGGCCTCCAGGCCACTGCCCCACTCGTCACGCTCCGGCTTCTGCTCCCACACGGACGGACAGTCACGGGAAACTTAATACAGCGAACGAGATAAGACGGATTCACAGCCTCCGGTCGACCCACCAACACGTGACACAAAGGCCCCCGGGGCGGAGACGAACAGAGACGGTGACGCTACTGGCACACCGCGGATCGCCCCTCCAAGGCTCCGACCTCGCCACCCCCAGTCCACCTCCCCACCAGTCCACCCCCCGTACCTTGATGTCCTGGAGCACGGCGCGCCCGCCGCGCTTGTTCTGGTACTCGAGCAGCTTCTCGGCGTGTTCGCGCTCCTCGTGCGACAGATCCTTGAAGAACTTGTGGAAGTGCTTCAGGGCCACGTCATCGCGGTCGAAGTAGCTCGCCTGCGGTTCGCACAAAGAGCGGCGACGGTGAGGCCGGAATCACACTCGCGGCACTGCTCTACCCACTGCTGGATGGACTCAGAGTCGCCACCATCCATCGCGGTCTCACAACGCAACAATCCACGCAGCGGCTGCGCGCGATGCGACGGATGCGTCGATGCGTGCGAGGTGTGTGCGCGCGTGGCTGTCCGCCAGGCTGCACGCGGCTTGTTGCGAGCGACGTTCAACTCGTCACTCGCCACCGACGGTAGCAGCCGTGGCCGGGACTCAAACTCACGTGGCCAGGTTCACGGCGCAGCGCGCTAACCACTGCGCCACCGCTCCCGCCCGTCACGAGGCACTAAATAAATAATAAACTCGGCGGCCGCTCCCCGCGTCACGTGACGATGTTTTGTGATTTTTGGAAATTTATCGATTTTCGATGAGAACGAGGTGCGCATTTGTGTCCTTCGTTCACATAAAGTCCTGGTCACAAAAGCAAAGTTTGTGGGAAATAATAATAACCAGTCTCTCTACCTTTGAGGCATAAGCAATTAGAACACAACACTACCCAGCAGCAACAATCGTGTGACGTAGCGGCGATACTTTTAGCATTTGTCAGTCCCTCCAGAAAAACGCGATTATGCGATCGCAAGATTCCACGCAAAATCAGCCAAAGTCCGCATATTTATGCGGGGGGCGCGTTTTTTCAAATACGCCGCACTTTCGCCGCATAAATTGCAGATTTCCGCGCGCAAGATATGCGGGCTTGCATGATTTCATAATCCCCGCATTTTCGTTGCAAAAAGTCACATATATCTTAGCGGAAAGTTGAAAAATGTTGCGTTTACTTCACACAAGCGCAGCCATTTCCCCTGTTGCCATGGGAACGTTATGAAGTGTTAGAGGCTACGTAGTTAGTTTTATTCAGGAGTTTATGCAACTTTACAGTTGTAAGATTGCACTTTTTTGTTAGTAGTATGTACATTTACATTACTGTAAGACTGTACTGTTACTGTATTGCTTACGTTACTGTGCACTGAAAACACTTATTTTAACAGAAGATGTCTGTTTTGTATAGCTACCTCTGTAAAACAGGAGGCACACATTTTATTTTTTAATATTTTATTTATTCATTTTTACAGAAGTTGTAGCATATTTATTTTGTAAAGCTACAGAACTTGTTCGACTCAATGTTTTGTAAGTTTGAGCCATCTGTTTGTTAAGGTCTGAAATAAAACAAGATGAGAACTTAAATATTCCCAGCACTTTCTGTGATGTAGTATGCTTGCTTATCATAGGAAGTAATAAGAAATGACTCTTTACATTAAAGTAGTAGCCTAGTGAATAGGGTGTTGGGGGAATCACTTTTTTTTCTCTTTTTCATCAAACCGCAGTTTTTGCAAGTTCCCGCAATTTTATCGCATAAAATTGCATAAATATCCCGCATATTCCATCGCATTTTTTAAGAAAACGTGCCGCATAATCAACGATTTTTGCCCGCAACAATCACCAAAAAACTCCGCGTTTTTCTGGAGGGACTGATTTGTGGTCGCAGCGGCCTCGACTGGCTGGAATGGGCCAAGTGAACTCGTTCTCACGGACACAACAACAACACAAACAACACGGAGACGACAACAACACAAACAACACGGAGACGACAACAACACAAACACGGAGACGACAACAACACGGAGACGACAACAACACGGAGACGACAACAACACGGAGACGACAACACGGAGACGACAACAACACAAACAACACGGAGACGACAACAACACAAACAACACGGAGACGACAACAACACAAACAACACGGAGACGACAACAACACAAACAACACGGAGACGACAACAACACAAACAACACGGAGACGACAACAACACAAACAACACGGAGACGACAACAACACAAACAACACGGAGACGACAACAACACAAACAACACGGAGACGACAACAACACAAACAACACGGAGACGACAACAACACAAACAACACGGAGACGACAACAACACAAACAACACGGAGACGACAACAACACAAACAACACGGAGACGACAACAACACAAACAACACGGAGACGACAACAACACAAACAACACGGAGACGACAACAACACAAACAACACGGAGACGACAACAACACAAACAACACGGAAACGACAACAACACAAACAACACGGAAACAACAACAACAACACGGAGACGACAACAACACGGAGACAACAACAACACGGAGACAACAACAACACGGAGACAACAACAACACGGAGACAACAACAACAACACGGAGACAACAACAACACGGAGACAACAACACGGAGACAACAACAACACAAACAACACGGAGACAACAACAACACGGAGACAACAACAACACGGAGACAACAACAACACAAACAACACGGAGACAACAACAACACGGAGACAACAACAACACGGAGACAACAACACAACAACACGGAGACGACAACAACACAAACAACAACAACACGGAGACGACAACAACACAAACAACAACAACACGGAGACGACAACAACACGGAGACGACAACAACACGGAGACGACAACACGGAGACAACAACAACACAAACAACACGGAGACGACAACAACACGGAGACAACAACAAAATGTCGCGGGCCTTCGTCAATCCACTCCCCACGCAGTGTCGGGGTTTGCTTGACCATACTTCACCACGCTGGTCAATGCGGGTTGGCGAAGGGGTGGGGGAGGAGGAGGCGGGAAGGGTTCGGGGTTGAGGAGGAGCGCTCAGAGGAGAGGCGACGAGAGGCGACTCCCCCGGAGAGAGCGCGGGGAGAGGAGGAGGCGGCGGATGGCTCCGTGGAGTTCACCGCGGGAGACCCAACAGAGCCGTGGACATCCCCGCGGGTGGAGGACACCGCGAGCAGTCGCCTCGCTCAGCGCAGGAGGTGACACGGCGAGAGGGGAGTGCGCGGGACGAGGCGCGACTCGGAGGTGTGAGCTCACCAGGGACAGGTAGACGTAGGAGGCGTAGAGCTCCTGGTTGACCTGGCGGTTGATGGCTGCCTCCACCTCCTGGCTGAAGTTCTGACGGATCTGGGACGTCATGTTGTAGTTGGTGTTGTGGTAGTTGGTAACGTTTGAGAGTTAAGTGAGAAGACACAGGGGGTGAGTTCTGTTCAAGCACTGTTGAAGCAAGAACCGCGTCCTGTGTGAGCTCCAGAGACTGTGAGCACTGCTGCCGGGCTCCGCCCTTTATAGGCGCGAGCGGCGCGCGCCATTGGTCGGCTCCAGCCCCCCCCCTCGCCCTCCCCCTCGCCCTCCCCCCCCGCCCTCACCTGCGGGGGCGGTGGGCGGGGCCCAGGTGAGCCCGTG